TTTTAATTTAGCTGTCTTACTATCTGGTGGATATGCGAATGGCGGTGTGCCGCATGGGCAGTCTGATAATGATTCATCTAATACGACGGTGAGTTTTGTTTTGCCTTTTGCTATCGGGTTGTATTTACTTGAGATACTTACATACTCGTTTTGGGCACCGTTTGGCTTAGATATTTGTTGGGGGACTTGATGCTGATATCACGGATGAGGATCTAAGGCAGTCTTTTGCTCCATTTGGTGAGGTTTTGTCTGTGAAGATACCAACTGGAAGGGGGTGCGGTTTTGTGCAGTTTGCAAACCGGTAAAATCCGTTTCTCATCACAGAAAATTATTATATGGGAATATTATTTTTTTGGAGAGAAGATAAAATAATAAAAGAGAACGGCAATAATTAATTTTCTTATGTGTCTAATTGAATATTAGTTGAATATTTCATATATTCTTAACAGTAAGTATGGTATTTAAGAACGGAACACCTTTCGGTTAGCTGGTGATAAATGGCTTAACCATTTGTGTTCAAGTTGTCATCAAAATGATGTTGAAGTTCCTGTTACTGAATACTCACATATTGAAATATATTGAAAATCGTGGATAGAATACTATCATGATTTCCATTTCTGTTGCATAACATAATCGTGACCCCTTTTATGCTCTTCCCATTTAACAGGAGCAGTGCGGAGGATGCTATTCAAAGATTAAATGGGACAACCATTGGGAAGCAGACTGTGCGTCTTTCATGGGGCCGAAATATGGGACCCAAACAGGTAAAATTTCGAATCACTAGTCTTCTTACTATGTGACTCAGATTATCATGGGATATTACGATGATCAGTAATTTAAAAACCGGACAGGTGGATAAAATTGGTCTCTCCACCGGTTCACGATTCAATTTCTGTGGTTTAGTATTAATTGATATTTATTATTACATTTTTAAAATATCGATACCAAGTACAAATCATTAGTACCGAGGAAAAGTTTGTGTTTATATCACTATTAGTTACTTCATATTCAGGCTGTAATTTAAATATCTAAGATGAGTAATCAACTTAAAATAGTTTTTGCACTACTTAATATGAAAATAATATCATAAATGTAATATATATTATTAACTTCAACAATATCATCTATTATTTAAGAAAAAGTGAATCAAATACAAAAAAAAAAAAAAAAAAAAAAACTGTCCTCTTTTTAGCCGGTTCAACTGATTTTGACTGGTCCAACGGTTTCTGGGTTTCTGCGGCTCATTTTGATCATATCAATGACTGCAGTCCAACCAGTTGAATATCCTAAGTTTTGTGATTTTAAAAAAATGAAGGTGATGCCTCATCTCTATCAGTAGAATTTTGGCAGTGGAAGTGAAAATATTTCGAAAAACTAATCATGACAAATATAAACTATACAACAGCTTTTTCTTTTTGATTGTCTGTCGAAAACCAATAACACAACTCACATTTGGTTTGGAATCCTTATGCGAGCACAGTCAAATTACTTCGTTATTGATTGTGTTCATATTTCCTGCAAATCAGATATCATCTTTAGTCTTGTTCCGATGTGAAACCTTTCTGAACCATTATATGCTGTTCTATGAAAACTTTCATATGAGTCATTTTTCTTCACTTCTGTTTTGGCAGTCGAGGGGGGATCGTAATAATAATAGTAACTGGAATGGTGGTTACTATGGAAGGCAGGGGTACAATGGGTATTATGGATACGCTCACGGGCCGTCCTCAAATGGCCATGGGACCCAACATCAGCCCGTCAGCTAAAAACCATAAGATACGTGCTCTGTGTATTCGACTCGAGCTTTTTATATGTATCAGAGTTGCTGTATCAAATCACTCGAGTCGAATACACAGCCCAGAATCTGGGGAAAAAAAGGAATTTTGTAGCTGGATCAAAATCTCACTCGAGAGAAAACTTTTTTTTTTTTTTTGAACTTTAAACTTATGTTTGAGATATCGACTTACTAAACAGCCTGTGATGTGATATGATGGTTTGTGTTTTACTTACTACTACTTTCTGTTTTTTATGCCTCACTGTGTTAAAATCGACATCTTTAGATGTAGCCACGTCGGATTTTATGCAATTTTTAAGTGTTTGGACCCCAAGTTATACATATTTTATAGATTATACATCTTTTATAATAGTTTATTAGTTTATATATATCAGAGTTGTCTCAAAAAAAAAAAAAAAAAAAAAAA